AGAAGCAGTGCTGGGAAGTTTGGAGTTAGAGGCACTATAGAAAACAGCAATAGGACAGAAACTGGCCGTGGACTTTCAAAATAAGAAATAGTGTGAGTTCTGAAAGCAGCAGGTAGCTGAACTGGATTTCAGTCCCCAGGCGATTCTAGAATGTGTGTTAACAACTCTGCCAGGTAGGCTTGGGAGACCTTGGGCAAGGTCCTATAGTGAAAGAGAGCACCCCTGAGCAAACTCCTGTCTTCTGTTGTCTGCACTCTTGAAGGTCTGGCCCTGGGGCTTCCGTACATGCCACTTAAGTAAACTCTTAAGAAATCCCGTAATTCTCAACACTGGCTGCACTTTAGAAACACTGCAGTGATTTAAGGAAAATACTGATGCCCAGGCTCCACCCCAGACCAATGAAATAATGAAGACAAGCTCCCCCTCGGTCCTGGATGGCTGTCACTGTTGTCACAAGGCAGACTGCACCCCATGTTGTCTCATGCTCCCACAGGCCCCAGGCTGTGACAGATGCCAGGTGGCTGATACAGGACAAGTGACTTTTCCCTCCTCACAGGGCAAACTCCCAGAGTAAACAAAGAGCTCAGATCCCGGAGGAGAAACCTGCTCTACAGGAGCTGGGCACACCTGACAGTAGGATGTGGGGGCTCCTCCCTCTGCACTTGGCCCTCCGCAAAGGAGCTAAAGCCCATTCTGGCCTCTTAGGGGGCCCACCCTGGCTTCTCTGGGACCCAGGAGCTTGCCTTTCCCGAATTCCCACCTTCACCCCCAGCCATGCCCAGCAGTGCTTTCTGCAGCCTTGTGTCTTTGAGCCTGGGTTTCTTGGAGTACAGGCCAAAATTTAGAAAGGAAGACCTCTTTCAGTTTTCTCACTTCCCTTGGATTAAACAGCTGAACTGTGTAGAGGAGACAGCCTGGTATTGGAAACAGACTGAAATTCAAATCCTGGCTTGCTCCTCAGGGCCAGCAAACTTGTGAATGTGTGCAGAATCCCTGTGATTTTAAAACAGGTGTGCTCCCAGGAGGGACAGTACAGTGACTAAATATTTGTCATCGCTCAGGGCCAGACTTCACACCCCTCCTTGCCATTAAAAGTTACAACCAGCGGAAGACACTACCTCCAACAAGATGTGTTCTAGCTCTCAGGTGTTTTGGAGGTGGGGGGAGGGCTGTTGGGCTAGAAAGCCTGTAATTCTCGACACTGGCTGAACTTTAGAAGCACTGGATTGATTTAAGGAAAATGCTAGTGGCCAGGCCCCACCCCAGACCAATGAAATAATGAAGCCAAAATCTCTGGGGGCTGAAAGCAGCCCTAGGTGATTGTGAAGCACAGCACGCAACAGACAAACCAACCCTGTCTGGGGCACTCAGACTCTGGTTCTGGGGTCTGGGCTGGAAGACATGTTTTTGTTTGTATACATCTACATGGTGATTTGATGTTTCAACCTGCATTTGCATTTCCATTCTCCTTAACTGTGTCCCAGCTCTGGTCCCTCTCCAAGGTTCAGGCTTTCTGACAAATGATTTCAAGACATGGTTTCTTCTGCAGCCTTCACCCAAAAGGCGAGTCTCAGCACTACACACTGGGCAGAGAGGCCGGGGCCGCCTATCCACAGCTGCATCAGGTAAGACCTGCAGATCAAAGCTGCACTATTGTGGGCTTCAACGTGGGCATGAGCTGTTACTAAACAGGAAAAAATAGAAAGGTGAATTTAATAACATCTTTTACACAGCTGGGCTGAAGTTACAGGCAATTTAGACATTGAAATAAGAACACGTTAAAACATTTTTACCTTGTCCGGTTGTGTTATGCATTTACTATCTACTGCTCCATAACAGGTTACCCCAAAACTTGGTGGCTTAAAGCAATGATGGTAATTTATTCTCTCTCATGGTCTCTGTGTGTTAGGAACTCATTCAGGGCCCCATCTGGGAACTCTGAGGAGACCGGGATCACCTCATGTGTCACTCGTGTCTGACCGTGATGTGATGCTGGCTGCTGTCGGAACACCCGTGTGGCTGCTTTCGTGGCCTGGGCTTCCCCATAAGTTGGCGGCTGTATCCCCAGAGTGAGTGAGTGAGGAAGAGGGAGGAAGATGAAGGGACACCCTGCCACCTTGTGCCTGGGCTGTGAAGCCAAACAGTATTATTTTTCCATTCTCAGTAGGCACTTAAAGGTCCACTCGGGTTCAATGAGAGTGAATACAGACTCCATTCCTGTTTTTGTTTTGTTTGTTTTTGTTTTTGTTTTTTTCTTCCCCAGGTACCGGGGATCAAACTCCCAACCTTATGCTTACCAAGCAGTCGCTACGCCACTCAACTCCATTCCTTGTCGGATCCCATTCCTTTTGGAGGAATCCCAATTCCATATTGTAGGAAGCGATTATGGGATAGAACATATCAGTGCAGCCATCTTTGAAAATACAACCTGATCCATTTTATTTTTCTTTTTAATTTTCTTACTCATGTTCCCTTAGATTCCAAAGCAATGTGTGCTTATTATAAGAAAAACTATCAATAAAAATCCAAAATTTATAAACAAGAGTAGATTTCTCCTTCCACTTTACTGTATCAATTTCAGTTTCTAGAAACACTATTAACATATTAACATTAGCTGGGCATGGTGGCGCATACCTATAATCGCAACACTCGGGAGGCTGAGGCAGGAGGATCGCTGAGAGTTTGAGACCAGCCTGGGCTACCTAGTGAGTTCCAGGTCAGTCTCAACTACATAGTGAGACCCTGTCTCAACACCCCCTAAAACAAAACAATAACATGTACTCTTCTATATGCATCTTACACATATGTAAATACATGAATAACATACCATAGTTATTATTCTACAAATTGCTTTTTTTTGGGGGGGGGTCTGGTACCAGGGATCGAACTCAGGACCTTGCACTTGTGAGGCAGGCATGAGCAAATTGTTTCTTTATCCAATAGTAATTGAACAGAGTTCTGTATCAGTACAAAGAGAACCACCTAATCCTTTCTGGTGCCAGCTATCTACATCTTGCTGTACCATAGCATGAATTAGTGTTCCATTGATAGATTTTTAGGTTGTTCTCATTTTCTTCAACTATTACAAATTGATGAATCAAAAAAATATCTCTCTACTAGGTCATGTAGGGTAGTACCTTGCAAATGGAAGTGTCTCATTCTGAGAATATGCATAATATTATTTTTCCACACAAGTGTAGAGGTTTTTTAAAGTTAGCATCACTGTTATAAAATAAATCTACATTAAGCAGCACACACGTTTTTCTTTGCAAATGACAAAAAAAAAAAAATGTGTTTTTCTATTTAGCCTTAACGACGGAGACATACACACTTGTCCTAAGGTTTAGAAGGTGCTTATAAACTTGGAAGGAATCTCCTCATTTATTTAGAAAATGACGAGGGGCAGGAAGCGGGGAGTTGCAAGAGGCGTGCATTTCCTTTTCTAATGTTTTGACTGGCGCTGAGATGTAATTGAATGTGTATCTTCAGTTCACACCGAACTCTTAGGGGAGACCCATGAGAAAGTAACAGCAAACAAGAAACCAGTTTAAGGTAAAAAGAAAAAAGAAAGTGCTGTGTATGACCCAAAAACAAGTGAGAAAGGCCCTATGGATACCTTCTGGCCACACAGATCGGTAGAGGGATGCATTGTGGATTCCAATAACATGCCGTCCTCTCCTCTTATCCCTCCACCTTTTGCTCACTGATGGCTAATCTGTAATTTACCCTGCGACTCTTGCCTCTTGCAGCGATGGCTGGAGACTTCTTTGCAGGGAATGAGGTTCTGAACTGTGCTACCACACAGATGAGCTCCGAGGACTTTGTGCTAAGCACAGGTCAGGCACACTGTATGATCCCACTTTTATGAAATATTCAGAATATGCAAAGTCAGAGACAGAAAGCAGATTCAGTGTCACCTGGACTTGGGATGGGGATGTGGCGTTACTGCTACTGAGTACGGAATTGCTGTTTGAGGTGATCGGAGTAGTTGGGAAAGATGGTTGCACAGCATTGTGAATGTGACTAATGCCGGAGGATTGCGCACTCTAAAGCAATTAGATTGGCAAAGTGTATGTAAAATACTTTCAGGGGTAGGGGAGAGGGAGGGAGAAGGAGAGGGAGGGAGGGAGAGAGGGAGGGAGGGAGAGGGCGCTTGCAGGAGCAGAACAGAGCTCAGGGCTCTGTCAGTTCCAAGGCCTTGCTTCTCCTTTGTTTTTAAAGAATAACCTCTATTTTTAGGGATTCTGTACAAAGGGCTGTGGGCAGGGCAAGTGCTCCCAGCCTCCCCAGTTCCTCAGAAGCCCACGTGGGAGCCTCGGAGTTATTTAAAGGTCTTTTTTAGGGATTCTGTACAAAGGGCTGTGGGCAGGGCAAGTGCTCCCAGCCTCCCCAGTTCCTCGGAAGCCCACGTGGGAGCCTCGGAGTTATTTAAAGGTCGGG